GGAAATACAAAATATCATCTATGAATACTATAAAAACTTCTATGCCCATAAACTTGAAAACATGGAGGAAATGGACAAACTCTTAGAAATATACTGCAACTTTAAAAGCACAAGATATATTTAAAAATACTTCCTCATACAAATTTGCAGTTAATCCTCCTAACAACTCAGTGTATGTCTAGCAAAGAACATGTTATTTTCCTGTATCAAATTGTGCCATTGTAACATGAAGTGTAAATAACTTGTCCAAGCTCTCCCAATCATTAAGGGGATGGCTTTTACTCAGTTAGTGAGCTCCTCTGTCTGCCCTCACATTCCCAACTCCTTTCATGTCCATCATGTCTGTCAAATTCTTATTTATCCTTCACATTCCCAGCTCAAAAAATTCTCCTTCCATAAAGCTAACTCCAGTATCCACCACTGATAGTGATGGTTTCTTCCCTTGACCCCACAACACTTTATCTGTCTTCCCACCACAAGTAAATGGACTTGGAATTAGAAGATTTGGTTTAGCTTCTGCTTGGTAACTTACTATCTGGGCAATCCTAACAACTAAAGCAGCCATAGTAACCATTTGAATGCTAGTTTCCTCATTACTATAATAGAGAAACAGAATATATGCTCATAAAATTATTTGGGAGTTTAATTTTGATCAAACAAATAAGAATTATGTGAAATGTAAAGTCCTACACAAACTTACTTTTCATAGAAATAAATACAGATGATTTTTTTATATACAACTTTTATTTCCCCTATTTCTGGTTGAGGGAAGACTTCATATCTAACAAATATTTGATTTTGTCATAGCACTCAATGATGCTCCACAACTAGGGATCTGACACAAATTAATAAAATGAATGAGCAAATGTATGACTACATTAATCACGATAAGTTTCATAAAGTAGAATGCTCAGCAGTACCTGCTAAATGTGGAAGACCAAAATCTCCAACTTCATTGCCTACTTTTTCTCTACTACTCTAGCTGACCTAGATTTATTCCTGATTCCCTAAACACATATTGCACTTTTGTGACTACAAGTCATGGCTCAAATTATTACCCTCTTTCATATCCTTTGTTTAATAGTACTTATCCTTATATAGGCTGTCCAGAAAGTATCCAGCCATTGTTAATATAACGAGAATGGTTACATGGCTAAATACTTTCTGGACAGCCCTCGTATACCCAGCTCAAATGCCATTTTCCCCATGAAGTTTTCTTTAATCTCATCCACTGGAAATGAGCATTTCCTACTCTGAAGTTCATAATATTTGTTCATATCTCTCACAGCTCTTACCATCTGACCCTGCATTATATTTTCTTGTGCATGTATTATCTAATCTAGCACATTTTAATCATGTTAAGATCAACATTTATGTTTCAGTTATCTTTATATCCCATTAAACATGTAGCAGAATATCTTTCATACTATAGGAACTCAATGTATATGGCTTAAATTTCTAACTGCATATTTCTGCCTTACAGATTGCCACCAACGCATGACAAATCTAAACGTTTTATAAGACGATCATCTATCGTTTGAAGTCATTATTACTTTGCATTTCTATTAAGATAGTATACTATGGGCAGAAACATTATCTTTACCAAAATTTAAAAAGCTACACGTATACATAAATAGAATACTTATAATCTGATTTTCTCCATAATTCACATGCAGCATGTTCTTATGAATTACAATTTTATCAGTAAAGAATTATTTATTTGAAAAGTTAAAGTACTAAATATGACTTTTATTTAAAAGGTGAAAGATACTTTAGAAAATAACCAGAGGTTTTTCATATTTTAAATCTGTATAATTTTTCATAAGTATCCAAATTAACATAACAGTTACCTATGATTGTCATTCTTGTTATTATCACGACATAGATTTCATTTATAGGAAGAGTGCACAAGCCTCATCTCTCAGAGATATTTAGATCATATAATCCTTCATTGCCTGCTGTCAGTTACTTTCTGGGCTGTTTGCAGATGTAATACACAGACAACCCACTAACAGCTGTCCTCTAGACAGACTAAATTATTTTTGTGCCTTCTCATTGAATAGAGGCTACTAGATCTCTTTTAAAAATGAACTTCTTATAATCTCTT